CGTAGGTGGAAGCATTCATCAACATAAGTGTATGCGCTTACACCAGCATACATACATGCAGCGACTGCATGAGCACATGGATATTTCCATGCCTGAAAACGACCACAATCACACCATTTGTGTCATAAATCAACTCTAAATGTTTGGTCTTCTCCTCCGACGTTACGATGTATGCACGACACGATAAAAGTATGACCAACTCGGTCGAAATTATGAACAACCATTGATGTTGCCAATCGCTCATTTGCTTCCATTGATTCCACCACTGTAGGAGCCCAAGTTTTACCTCTATTTATGAGACTCTCAATTTCCTTGCCTTTGTCCGACCAAACTTTACCCAGTCTAAAGTACGTCTCTTTCACCAACTCGCTATTGGGAGATGGCGTGTACCTTTAGTACCGAATTAATGGCCTCAACAAGGTTTGTGGTCATATGTCCGTATCTCCGACCTTCATCGTATGCTTGCGACCATTTTTCCCGCGGTATTTTTGAAGCCCACTTCCAAACACGCTGATCATCGTAAAATACCTTCAAATTCTCCAATCTCTTGTCAAAATTTGGTCGACGTAGTTCGTATCATGTTCCATAATATATTGTGTTAAACCGCAATTAAAAAAACCACGTAAAAAATACACAAATATTGAAAATAAAACTTACCCATGCTGACTATCTCGCTACGAATATGTGCGTTATGAAACTGGTCGATACTATTCTTGCCAATATGACGGATACAAAATGTCGGATATGCATACGGAGGTATCCAACGACTTCCTGGTCGTTCAATTGCTGCCAAAATACCCGTTCCTCTATCGGATATCAAGCAAACTCCATCTTCACGAACGACATATTGACGTAGATTGGTCAGAAAGAAATCCCAAGCCTCTGTTGTCTCTCCCTCAACAATGGCGAATGCAATTGGGAAGATATTTCGCTCACCATCTTGAGTAACTGCCATCAAAAGTACATGCCTATATTGACCATACAACCACGTACCATCTACTTGGATCATACGTTTGCAAAATGGAAATCCTTCAATACATGCCTTGAATGCCCAAAATAGTCTATGAAATATTTTCTTCCCTGGCAGAAGTTGACCTTCTTCGTCATATGCGGGCATGGTTTGAGACTTCACTATAGTTCCTGGGATAAATATCTTCATTGCTTGTAGCAAATGTGGTAGCTCATTGTACGATGTATCCCAATCTCCATACGTCAACTTCATTGCCTTCATTTTCGCATTCCACACCTTGCCATATTTTACTTGATATCCAAATTGGCTTCGAATAGATGCAGCTAACACTGAACAAGATATCCTTGGATCCTTTTCAACCATCGCCTTCACGTATTCACATATTACATCGGAGTCCAATAGTCGGTGGTCTTGTTCGATGGAGTTTCGCAAACATGTGTGCGAACCATTGTACCTCGTGATGACCCAAACATCGTGCCTTTGATTTTTCGACACTCTGATCTTCCACTTGCACTCTGGGCCATATTTTACACACTTTGCGTATAGGGTTTTCTGGTTGGACTCTGCAACATGGACATCAACATGGCATTTGATGCAGTACTCTTTAATAGCCAGCGTAGCTTCATTTTTTCCTCTAAATTGCACCCCAACTGAAAATTCACCAGAATTATCGAATGATTCAGTCATTTGGTACGGAGGTAAATGTGGCATGTCTGGGAATTCAGGTGCCCTCATTGCATCATAATCTATCTCGTACATGTGAGGAGTAGCTTCATACGGTGTCGGAACTTCATCAATTGCACCTCCACCAAAAATATTTTCGTCGCCGCCCAAAACGGGTTCTTCAGTTTCTTCATCTTCGCTTGAATCATCATGAATTTCTCCCCATCGATTTTCAGCGTCAATATCAACAACCAATTCCGGTATGTTTCTCGTCTCATACTCTGCTGCTGTAGATGTCCCCCCGACTTCATTTACACTTTCCAATAGTGCCATAAAACTGTTCGGGAACCTGTATGTCGGCTCCTCAAACTGACTATATAAAGCCATTTCAGATGGATTTTGAGCCACACCTCTTGATGACCCAGGAACATCACATATGTTACGCACATCAACAAATAATTCAATAACTGCTATATTGGTTGACTCATGTAATCCAACCATGGTTTCAATATCATCATCTTCTTCAAGTGGAACTGCAGCATATCTGACTGGGTTAGAGCATATCATAAACATATACCTCAAACCATCAACTGCAGCTCGAATTTTTCTTTCTATCTTATGCTTCATTTCTATAAATGTGATGTCTTTTTTGAACATCATATTTATTGGTTTTTCAGACTGAAAAACTACTCCGACCTCATTTTTCATAATCTATCCATTATAATGGACAATCGTGAAAAAGTTGTTGCTCATTTTCTCTACAAATAAAAAAATAAATTAATTTAGATTAAAAAATTAGATAAGATAATTTCATAAATTATTAAATATAATATAATATACTATTATATTAATGATCAAATAAATTTATTATTTAACTTGATTGATTGCTTACTAATAAACCTAATAATGATTTGATAATTACTATTAATCTAATGATTTGATATTTAATGATTTAATAATAATATGATTTAGTCATAATCACTAATAATTATTTATTATAAATATTTAATGATTTAGATTTGATACTAATCATTTAGTAATTATTACTAATAATAATGATTAGTTTGATAATATTTTTTATTTTTTAAAAATATCAAACAAATTTGTTAGGCAAAACTGTCGAGATAATGTTCTCGAAATAATTATTTCGCGAGATAATGCGTTGTCCGGATTATTTCATTCAATTAATTTTTACTTCTTACTATATACACATACAATGTAAATTAAACAAAATATTTTTAAAACAACACTAAATATTTTTAAACACAATATTTTTTAAAACGAAATTATCTCGCACAAATTAGTTTATATAATCTAATATAAACTTACTAACTAACTAATTTACACATACACAACAACAAAAAATGGACAACAAAAATAATAAATTACTCACGTCTTTATGCCTTCTTCCTTTACTTTCTTTTCCTGCCTTGTTTCTTTCTTCGAATCAATATGTACGTGGGCAAATATTGTGAAATAATGTCATGTATGTGTAAACAAAATATTTATTTAAACAACAATAGCTCCCACAAATTAATTTTATATAATCTAATATATTATAATATACCTTAAACTAATAAACTATTTCTTTATTATAATATAACTTAGTTAAAATAACAAACTAATTAAGTACTAATTAATTTTTTTATAATATAACTTCAACTTCAACGAACAACCTAATATACGTTTAAAGACACTAACAAATTAATTAATATTTTTTATATTTAATAACTTAAACTAAGAAACTAATTAACTAATTTTTTATATAATATAATATATAACTTAAACTAATAAACTAATATAATATAACTTAAACTAACAAAATAATAATTTATACTAACAAACTAATTAACTAGATTTTAGTTTTACCCTAAACCCGAAACTAACAAACTAATAATTTCATATAATAAACTAAATTAAACAATAAAAAAATTACCTCACGAACTATGTTTGAGCCTTTATCTTCTTTTCTTCTTATTCCTTTTATTTCTCTCGGCAAAGTTTATATGTGCTGGTTCTGCTTGTGCTTCTACCCTAAACCCCATATCCTTTATATAAAGCAACTGAGCGTTAACTATTGAGCATTGAAAGGCTGACAGCTAAATTAACGCTGCAATAACGCAACTATAGATGCAACACATACAGCTACGGGTGCAGGAATCTCTGAGCTATGAGCTATGATGCAACGCATGCATGCAACAGCTACAGGACCTTGGTCGCCGAGACTCCATGGCGACCTACCTACCACCGTGACCTACACCGTTCGACGTGCATGGCCATGCACAGTTCCCACGTCCAATGCACCATCCTCTCCCCCATGCATTCCCACAGTTCCCACGTCCAATGCACCATCCCCTCCCCCATGCATTCCCACCCCATGCATTCCCACGTCCCATGCATCCCCTCCCCCATGCATTCCTACGTCCCATGTTGATTGCATGGCGACCTATTCCTTTGCAAAATACACACCGGATGCCATGGCGACCTCCAAGGTCGCCCGGATGCCATGGCGACCTCCAAGACCACTGTAGAATTCACTCCATTCCAGCAATTAATCTGGGATGTGCACCATTTCGTGAAAAAAAAATCGAGAACATTATCTCGTGAATTCACCCGGGTTAAAGCCTTAAAGGCTTAAAGCAACTAGTAACGTGCAGGGAGAGACTGGAGAGGATCCTAGCCGTTGTTTATCTTTTACTTAGGTGATTCTATAAGATCCGAACTCCGCTTAGTTGCTGCTATACTATAAAAACAGAGATTGTAGAGCCAGCGACAGCCTTGTTAATTTACCTAATCATTCTACACGTGCAACATCGCCCACATTTCTTTCAACTTTCAAGGAAATACCCCCACTCATTTAAACATTTATAGGAATGGGAATTCGATTATATGTCGAGTAGGAAAGAAGTTTTTAAGAAATAATTTGAATTTATTTTGATAAATATTTTTATTAATATGATATATGAAAGAATATATGATGGAACGTGTGTAAATGTTTAAAGGAAAATAACTTCTCTGGGGAATTCTGAAGCTGGCAGTCCCTTTGCTGTGCAACAACTAAATTAACACTAGTATTCATATTTCGCGCATGATAAATAAATAATTAAGCGATGATGATCTCACTGTTATCGATCTGAGAATCTGAAACCATCTATCTATTTTCTCTCTCCCGATATGCTCACATACGCACGCATAAATCTCTGCAACCGACTTTGCATTTGCATTTACTACCCCCTACTATGTACGCCCATTAGATATTATTTTTTCTCAAAAGCCTCAAACCCTCTTGTTTTTCCAAGAAACCACTTTTAGATTTTTTTTTCCCAGTTTTGGAAGGCCTTTCAGGTGCATGTTACTGACCCTCGTTAGTCGTTACCCATTCCCTTCATTCACAATCACAACCACGCCGACCCCTTGTTTTTTTGTTGCAAACCACAAGCTTTCTCGCTTTATCCCTATCTTTTTTCTCATTGCAAGACATACGAATTGGGTAGAGCTGTGTTGGAAGATGTTGGCAGTCAAAGAACTTTTAAGTGAACTTGCTGGGGAAGAGGAAAACGAGCAAGGTTTGCCGCCTGGGTTTCGATTTCACCCAACTGACGAAGAACTGGTAACCTTCTATTTGGCTTCAAAGGTATTTAATGGATGCTTCTGCGGAGTGGAGATTGAGGAGGTTGACCTTAACAGATGCGAACCATGGGAGCTTCCAGGTATATATATACTTGCTTTTACCCAAAGTCAAGTGTTAATGGTGTGATTATATGAAACTATCAAACAATATTCTCTACCCGATTGACATGCTTCTATAGATTGCTTAGAATCTAATAAGTTTTTGTTGTTTTCCTCTCAAGCCGAGCCTATGGAGATAGATACTTTCTTTTTTCCCCTTTTTGGGATAAGCTTAAACCTGCTGGTTTCTTTGCCAATGGAGTCTAGTAAAGCTGCAGTTTAGGAATTAGGGTGACCTCTGATCCTCAGATAACTTAAAAATCCTACTGCATCTTGGTTATGTTCCTTACCAGATTCTATGAATTTTGTACTGTATGCATTTATTGTATAATAAGTATGTTGGCGGGAAATCTTGCATACTAACAGAACCCTAGCTAGAGTTCTCAGGTCTTGTAAACATTTCCACCAAAAGATGGAGGCATGTTGGGTTTATTGCAATATTTCTTGCAGGCATTTTAAATTCGAAAATTTGAAGACTTGGTCATTAATATTCCGAGTATGGATAGCACAATTAATTGAAGAATATATATGTATATCTCTGTGTATGTAAATAAATGTATTGTCTATCTTTAATTTCTGTTAAAGTAAATATGTAGTAGTAATAAACTTGATATGATCAGACGTGGCGAAAATGGGGGAGAGGGAGTGGTACTTCTTCAGCCTGAAGGACAGGAAATACCCGAGCGGGCTGAGAACAAACAGAGCCACGGGAGCCGGGTACTGGAAAGCCACAGGCAAAGATAGGCAAGTATACAGTACCTCAAGTAGAGCTCTTTTGGGCATGAAGAAAACCCTTGTTTTCTACAAGGGCAGAGCGCCCCGTGGAGAGAAGACCAAGTGGGTTATGCATGAGTACCGCTTGGACGGTGACTTCTCCTGCCGCCCGTCCTGCAAGGTAAATCGACCCCCCCCGGCGCCCTCCGCCTCATGAGCGTTGCCGTGGGAGTCTCATCTCATTCATGATCGCTGTTTGTCGCGTTCTGGGTTTGCTCATTGATGGTCCTAATATAATATAATAATTGTCATGAAACTGATCATCTGCACTGGTAGGGGCATGGTATATGGTGTTAGCGTGCATGCCGACTTGACAACTTTCACCTTATTATTAACAACTCCAGTTTGCAGAGTAGTTTTTGATGTGATTGGTTTTGGTTTTCACTCTATCGCGCCTTTTGGCTGTCAGTAGCTGCAGCTGCCATTTCTGTATTTTCTTATTCGTTTCTCTTTATAATTCAATCTTACAACCAAACATCTCCAGGTTTGTGTGTGGACCCTTTATCCGGATCATCACATGCTTATGCACTGATTGCTGGTTACTTTGTGCAGGAAGAATGGGTGATCTGCAGAATATTCAACAAAACGGGTGAGAAGAAAAATGCCCTCGCTCAAGGACAAAGCTATTTGATGGCAGTATCTTCGTCTTCAGCAACTTTTTTGCCTCCGCTGCTTGAAACCCCGGGTCCAGTATCGTTCTTAGAATCTCAAACTCTAATGCAAACTCGCAATTCTTATCTGATTCACCGCCAAGAAAAAGACATGAAAAGCCTGATAAACACGGCTGTCCCACAATCACAGTCCCGGCTCTTCCCATCCAATGGGTTCTTTTCAGCCATATCCACCATTGCTGCTAGTTGCGCAACCGACAAGCACACTGAGACAAACGCCAACAACTCATCAGCGTCGATGCTCTTCAAGTCCCTGCTCTCACATCAAGGTTGCACCTCGAAGGAACAAGCTACTATTCCCAGACTGTGCAAGACTGAGGCTAACTTTTCCCATTTAGATTCCAACACAACCATGAAGTGGATGGACAAGATTCATCCCACCCCACCATGTCAAAATCCCTTGTTTGAGATGGATTATACTGTGTCGGGGTTTTCTGAAGCTGCTGTTACGGGCCGTGACATGTCCAATTCAATTGCTTTCAATCGGACCAGCGGTCAGATTATTTTAAATCCTCCCGCCACGGCCTCTGGAGAATCCTGGCCACTGGATTGTTAAGATCTTTATGTTGTTAGGAATAGGATTCCTATTATGATTAACTATCCATGTATGTGTATTATTTATACAAGTATATTGGGTTATGGGTTACTCTGTGTTTACGTGTATCTTAAGTACAACTTTTCTCTTGAAGTCCCTGCTCTCACATCAAGGTTGCACCTCGAAGGAAAAAGCTACTATTCCCAGACTGTGCAAGACTGAGGCTAACTTTTCCCATTTAGATTCCAACACAACCATGAAGTGGATGGACAAGATTCATCCCACCCCACCATGTCAAAATCCCTTGTTTGAGATGGATTATACCGTGTTGGGGTTTTCTGAAGCTGCTGTTACGGGCCGTGACATGTCCAATTCAATTGCTTTCAATCGGACCAGCGGTCAGATTATTTTAAATCCTCCCGCCACGGCCTCTGGAGAATCCTGGCCACTGGATTGTTAAGATCTTTATGTTGTTAGGAATAGGATTCCTATTATGATTAACTATCCATGTATGTGTATTATTTATACAAGTATATTGGGTTATGGGTTACTTCTGTGTTTACGTGTATCTTAAGTACAACTTTTAGAATGAATCCAAATATATTATTCAACGTATCTCCGAAGAAAAGCCAAGACAAAACAAAACTAAAACCGTGGGTGGGATGGTGATTTGACCAAATTGACACCTTTAATAAATTATCTTTTTTTTTAGCGTTATTTGATCAATATTTCTCAAAATGATACTTTTTAGGTTGAGGTGGCGAAAAGCACATTTCCGGGGATACATTTTACCTGATTTTACGTTGAGTTGGATGTCACGTGTGAAAGGCACAACACCGAAGACGCGCTTTACCTTTATTTTGCTGATTCAGTTGCCACGTGTGAAAGGCGCATATCCGGGGACGCGCCTTTCATTAATTGTCTTAAATGCCCATCCGACTTTTCCCCAACTACCCCTCCTCCTCCGTTATATAAACCCTCTCAACCCCACCTCATTCTTCACACCAAAATCTTCTTCTCCTTTCTTATATAACTCAAATTCTCTAAATCTTTGAGTTTTAAATTTCTTATTAGTGGTTAGAAATTTATTTTTCAGTTATTTTTTTTAAATAGTTATTATATTTTATATTAATATAATTATATAAATATTATTTTTTTTATTAAAATAATATTTATATAATTATTATTTATTTAAATTTATTAATTAATTATTTTTTGTGCTAATTATTATTTTTGTCTCAGTTATAATGGAAAGTGAAATGTTGCTGCGATTGAATGCTAACCATATCTCCAGACATTTTAGCGATATGGTAATATTTTTTTTATAATTAATGTTAATATTTATTGTTATGTTTAATTTAAATTTATTATGAATTTATATTAATTTTATTTTTTTATAATACATATTATCTAGGATACTGATCGTATTTTAGTGACATTTATTAAAAATCCACGTATATCGACACCGGAACGTATTTTGTCATTTTTGGCTTCTGCCGGGTTCGGATATATTGTAACAATCATTAGCGGTTGTAAATTCGAACCTGTCCTAATTTCTGCATTGATTGAGAGGTGGAAGCCCGAGACACACACTTTTCACATTCCATGTGGAGAGGCTACAATTACATTGGAGGATGTCTCTATGCATCTGGGGCTTCCCGTCGACGGAAATATGATGTGTGGTATGGCGGATGGTGATTGGCAGTCAATGTGCATTGATTATCTTGGATCTGCTCCGCCAGAGTTTAATGGAGGTAGAATAGCTTTATCTTGGTTGAAAGCTAATTTTGAGGTTTTAAATGAAAATGCTTCAGAGGATCAAGCAAAGGCATGTGCTAGGGCATATATTCTACGTATAATTGGAGGAATATTGATGCCCGACAAATCTCGCAAACAGGTGCATTGTATGTGGTTGCGGCATCTGATCGATTTTGATGAAGCTGGAATATATAATTGGGGCGCTGCAGTTTTGGCATTTCTCTTTAGAGAAATGTGTCAGGCGATGAATTATAAGAAAACTGCTATCGATGGATGTCTCCTGCTTCTGCAATCATGGGCGTGGTTCCGCATGCCTTTCTTATGCCCGATCGTGAATGAACCATACATATTCCCCTTATTGTTGAGGTAATTATCGAACTAAATTTTGATTTAAATATTTTTAATTAAATAGGGTGATATTTAGTTTATATTATATTTCATAGGTGGTTGATGAAAAGAATGAACCATATAAGTATACCTACTTGGTTAGAGGAAATTCGTCTACTTATTGATACAAAAGTTAGGTCTGAGGTATGTTTTTACACTTGTTTAAATCTTAATATTTTAATTTAAAATGCTAGATATAATTAGAATATTTTATTTATTTGAATTGTATATTTATATTTCAGTTTCAATGGATACCTTATGCGAGCGATGAAGTGAAGGCTTGCATCCCACCCCACCTTGGTGGGTCATTAGAGGTTTGGATATCGGTTATACCTCTTATATGTTATGCTATTATTGAGTGGCATCCAGTTGATCGTGTGCTATGTCAGTATGGTTGTACGCAATGTATTCCTGGAGCACCTAGGAATTTAGACGACGTGCATAACATAGATAGACGTGGAAAGAAAGATGTTAACTGGGTGATGAGACACAGAGATTGGATTGCGCTTTGGGAGAACCGATATGCACAGTTGGCCCCTCGATAATATTACACTGAAACTGGTCATATGGTTACGGATAACTATATGGACTAGTTTAATGAAAATAGGAAGCCGTTTCTACTTTCGACGGAAGCACGAGGGGTTAGCATTCCTAGGCGCCGAGAAAGACGTCAACCGTCTCAATATCATCGTCCTCCGACGCTTGGACGGAGAGAAGGTGCTATCGGTTCTACATTAGTCCCACCACAACATCTTTATCCACCGATGCCACAATGGTACATGCCCAGCCCTCCACTTCAGATGCCATCTCCTCAGGGGTATATATCAAGCCCACCAGTTCATATGTCATCTCCGCAGAGTTACATTCCTAACCCGCAGGGTTACATTCCTAGCCCGCCATGTTACATGCCTAGCCCGCAGGGTTTTATACCATATGGAGGTGTATATACGGCTATGTTTAATGATCCAGCATATGGTTCATATGCATCTTATTTGGCTGGTGGTGCTTCTCCTCAGACACCTCAATCTCCATCTGGATCACAGAAATCGATGCCAATGTTTCCACAGTTTTCACAGTTCCCGATGAGCGTTGGGATGGTTACTAGCACTCCTCCAAGGTCGTTATTTTATACAGCCCCTTCAGCGTCATCTAATCCAAATGAAAAAAATGCAGATGATGATGATAGTGAAGATGAGGAGACTGAAGAACAAGTTCCACGAAGAAATCCTCCGCGAAATAGACAACCACCACTATGTGGAACTCATTCGAGAAGATGACATCGGTGATCCAGTTGTATTTTAATGTTATTTAAATAGTTATATTTCAGAAATTTATGTAATTTGGTTATGTTATTTAAATATTTCAGGGTTGTTAATGCCAATATTTTTAAAGTTATTTTTTATTCAAATTTAACATTAAATGTTTAATAAATGTTTTTAAAATACAAATTATAGTATTCGAAATTTAAAATTAAAATACAAATAATATTATCCGAAATTTAAATTTAAAATATAAATTATAGTATTCGAAATTTAACATTAAATTCAAGTTAATATTCCAATTGTATTCGAAATTAAAAGTTATATTCCAATTATAGTTCACAGTACTTAAATTGAAATTAAATTTATCCATACATATGATTTTATCATTAACATATATATTAAAACGTATACATTAAAATCAACTTATCACTTCACATTTATTCGTAAAAACATGTCGATGTTCATTCCATACAATTTCAATGTCACAATAAACTTATCACTTCACATTTATTCAATTTATCCATAACATTTTATCTAATTTATTCAAACTTCACATAACGTTTTAATTTAAGTTATGAACTTAAATTTATCTATATATATAATTTTATCCTTAACTTGTTGAACTTCCAAAAGAAGTTAAATTTTGGTTATAATTTACCTGATTTCACCATCCATCTATAGTTCCCCAGGAACGCGTTTTAAAGTCCCCTAAGGAATAATAGGTATTGACATGAATAGTTCCCGGGGGACATAAGTGACATAATAGGGTAATGATAACATATTCTCTGACAAAATAATGGAAGGCGCACCCCCGGGAACGGGCCTTCACGGTCCCCTAAGGAATAATAGGTATTGACATGAATAGTTCTTGGGGGACATAAGTGACATAATAGGGTAATGATAACATATTCTCTGACAAAATAATAGAAGGCGCGCCCCCGGGAACGCGCCTTCACGGTCCCCTAAGGAATAATAGGTATTGACATGTATAGTTCCCGGGGGACATAAGTGACATCATAGGGTAATGATAACATATTCTCTGACAAAATAATGGAAGGGGTGCCCCCGGGAACGTGCCCTCACGGTCCCCTAAGAAATAATAGGTATTGACATGAATAGTTCCCGGGGGACATAAGTGACATAATAGGGCAATGATAACATATTATCTGACAAAATAATGGAAGGCGCACCCCCGAAAACGCGCCTTCACGGTCCCCTAAGGAATAATAGGTATTGACATGAATAGTTCATGGGGGACATAAGTGACGTAATAAGGCAATGATAACATATTCTCTAACAAAATAATGGAAGGCGCGCCCCCGGGAACGCGCCTTCACGTGAATAGTACCCTGGTTATAGACACTATTATATGCAACGTATTATAAACTTTCAAAACAAACTTCAGTTCACAAGCTTTGATATTCTCAAACTCTAAATTTCTCAAAAATCTCAATCCTCTATTCTCTGAAAATGAGTCATTTTTCTACTGTTGTTTTGTATGATGGAGAAATTAAACAAGCTGAAGATGGGGTAGTTTTTGAGTCAGATCATTATATCCCCTTAACCTTGAAGAGAAACATCACTCTTGAGGAGTTAATCACAAAAATTTCGTTA